TGGAATACAGAGAAAATCGCAGATGGACTGTGTCCATCTGCGATTTAAGCCTGAAATGCCCTATATATACAGGAAAAAAAAAATTCAATCCACCTGCGAATGTACAAGTGGCTAAAGCACACTTGTGCTTTAGCCACTTGTACATTCGCAGATGGAATGTGCAAATAGCAGATGGACCATTCCCATCTGCGATTTTCGTGGCCATTTTTGCAATTTCGATTTTTTTTTGCTATTTTTCGCAAATTGATTATGATAATTGCTATTTTTGTCATTTTCTCGTAAATCAACCTAAACTATGATATGTAGACCCGGGTCCATCTTAAATTTACCGGTTTTAACCCATCAGGTTTACCACATATGCATTAAAAGAAAAAAAAAAGTTCTAGACGTATAGAAGTCATAACTCATAATAATTCTTTTATTATATTAATACTATAATCCTTTTTAATGATATGCACGTGCAAGCTCAGTTGAGTGCGAGTTACGGGTGTTCATCGTATCATAATTCGACTATATTGATCCATAATTTAATTTTTAACTCATTTAAACCGGTTACTTTAAAATCTTTTTTTTTCCAAAAAGAAAAAACATGCTTTGGTTTTGAGAACTCTAGAATCAAGAATTACACCAAAACCAGATTTTGAGAACTCAAAGGACCAAAAAACTCAAGTCCCTGTTAGGTTTTTTGGTTTCTCTGGTCCGCACCAATTTTTGCACAAGCCTTATTAAACAATATATATGTAACTTCACCAAAACAAATTATGTTAATTTAATTTAACACCGATATTTATTAGCCAAATCAAGAACAAGAACATCGGAGTTCAAAAAACCACAAACAAGAGACATCAATACTATTTGCCCGCAAGCCCTAATTTGATCTTCTGAATCGTCGCAATATCAGTTTTAAATGACTTAGCCAACACTTCATCACAAATAGTCGAATTAAAGACCGAATTTGGGACCGAAACCGTCCCCGCGTTTGCACTTCCAAAGGCAGACACCGCCAAAGCAGGTGACTTAGCATCACTATTAAACTGAAAGTGGACAAGTCCCTTGGGGAACACAAAGATGTCACCTTGTTGCAACTTTTGAGTAAACAGTTTATTAGTTGTGTCAACAAACCCAACATCTAATGAACCCATGAGCACAAACAAGAGCTCGGAGGCCCGTGGGTGGGTGTGTGGTGGGTTGACTGTGTTGCTAGGGAACTGGAGGACAGCGTAGGAAACACTTTGACCGTTGAGAGCTGGGAACTCGGCCATGGCAGCTTTTGTCACCTTGAATGTAGTTGGAAATGGTGCACCGACTAGGGTTCTCATTCCAGTGAATGTGAAGTAGCTGCCGCCAAGTGGGCCGAAGGAAATTGGTGGCGGAATGAAGTCTGTGAGAATGTCGGGGTCTCCCGCCGTTGTTTTCTGTAGAATGGCACATGAAAGTGAAAGAAACAAGAAAAGTTGGAATTTCGATGCCATGTTTGAAGCTAGAAGGTGGCAAAACTTCTTGTTTCTTCTAATGTAGATATTATGTACATATGTGTGTCAGTGTGTATATATATACACACACGTACAATTCAATTAGACAAACAAAAGAATTTGCTTTTTGTCGATTAGGTACCAAAGATATCACATAAGTCAAGTTTACGGGCCAAGCCATGTTGTATGTATCACTTAAAAAAATTCCGTTTTTTTTATAATTCCTAAGAAGTTTAACAAGAAACATTTGCTATTTCACTTCGTTGTTGGGGAACAATGGTTTTGTTTTAAGGTTCGCCGGTTTTCCAACTTAATTAAGATTTATTAATACAAACCAAAATTAATAGTTGCGGTTGTTTAATGTTCCAAAAGCAAAATATAAATAAAAACATGGATATTCTAAGGATCAGTGTATAAATAATATTTAAAATTTGTAATATCATACTAGGTTACATAAAGTTAGATTAGAGGTAATTTAAGAAACTATAATCTCGATTTCAGGCAAAATCCAAAATTTAAAATATAGAAATACCTTGTTATTGTTCCATGTTCTTCAAGACACTTTTTTTTTTTAGAAAAACATATATAAGCAACAGGTAGCTCTGTTAGAATTAGTGGGAAAGTCATGTCTACTAGAAACATGCGTGTCGGTTGAGGTTTTGTAGCGACAGTGTTCGACGTCAAACACCACCTCCCGGTTTTATAGCGACAGTGTTCGACGTCACACACCACCTCCCCCCCCCCCCTCTCCTGTGCCTGACCCCATGTTCCCAAGATTAAATCAACTTATCTAAACATGTACTTCAACTCCCAAACTCATAATTTAGTTAAAACTGAACTAAACTTGTCTTGAGTTAATCTTGATCATACAAAATGGCTTGATGATACTAAAAACATTAACATTTAATTTATTAATTTATAAGCACGAACCAGAAATTGAGCCGATCAAAATCAATAAATGAAATCCTCCTTTACGGAGGTGTTATATGGTATAGAGTTTTCTTTTTAATTTATTAATATGTAAGCATGAACCAAAAATTGAGCTGGTCAAAATCAATAAATGAAATCCTCCTTTATAAAGGTGTTATTTTGTATAGAGTTGTCTCCTTAAACCCTAATTTCACTTGTACCGCCAATCTGCAAGCTAACCTCCTACGACCATAAGTACTCATCGCCTGCTTCTTCTTGTAAGAAACTTATGTCATCCCTTGTAGTGTTCGCTACAACCGAAAATGTAACATCCCAAAATCACAATAAAAAATTTCCATTTTTAATTAAAGATAAATCATTGTTTTCAATCAACCCAAGTAATAAAACCCCAAGATCAAGTACAAATATTCCAAAATCAGTGTATCATAACATCTCCAAAACATATCACTAAAGGATGTGTATAATCACGCCTTTGCTTTCCCCCGACCATCTGAAGCACCAGAAACATAAAACGTAAACTATAAGAAAAAGCTCAGTGAGTTCCCCCAAAGTACCATACACAACCAAGACAGATAACAACATACATAAACGAGCCTTCAGCCTGACTGGACCGGCTCACAAGGCCTACAGCCTATCTGGACCACTCTCCGGACCTTCGACCTGCCTAGATTGCCTCATATGCCTTCAGTCTATCTGGACCACCCCAAGTATCTTGGCTCTCAGCACAAAGCAGGTCCGCCTCAACCCAACAAACATAACATATCGACATATACAATAATAACCAACAACACATGTAATCATACCGATCTACCAATCTAACGCATAATAAGTGAACACAGGTAATCATACAGATCTACCAATCTAACACATACTCAGCATAACATCAATCCAATATACCAGGATACATATCCAGTGGGCCGACATTAGTGCCTTCGACCTATAAGTAGAGTGAGGAAAACTCACCTCACAGTCTAAAAAGATAGCAGAAAAGAACGTTGCTCCAAATGTCAACTCAATAGGTCACCTATACAACAAACAGTGACCTATACTCAAACTTCAGCTCAAAATATCCAAAATGCCCCTAAGTCAAACTTGGTCAAATTCAATGGTCAATGGTCAAAGTCAAAGTCAACTCCAGCTAGCCACCACGTCGTGGCTGCTGGTCGACGGAACAGACGGGTCTCGAGCCAATCGTCACGTCATAGGGACTGGTCTGGACAGCTTAAACCATTAAGTCATTTTTCCCCAACTTCAACAGCTCTAAAGCTTTGATATGGTCCTTCCTATGGTCTTGATGGATAAAGTTTCCTACTTTATTCCTTTGAGTTGCACCTCCAAAGTTTCCAGAATGACTTCATAATCCTAATAAACCCTAATGATCGTGGCTTTATGGACATGCATGTCCAATGCATGTCACTTCCATTTTAGGTCAAAAACTAGGGTTTAATGACCAAAACTCCATGCATGACACCAAAACTCATTCATAATTCAGATCCAAGACACCAATTACTCTATTTGACCTGGAGATTCATAAAGTTGCAAACTTTATGAGATCCTACCACTCAAATCCATCAAGACATGAAGAAAAGGGACAAAATCAAGAGATCTAGTAACATGGCAAGGAAAAAGTTAGATCTTGGACACTCACCAAGGTCCATGAGTTGTGCTAGGTGAAGAAAAAGATGTTTGTTAAGTAACTTATATACCAAGGGCTTCCTTCTCCTTAAAAAATCACCAAAAACCACCAAGAATAAGCTCACAACTTCAATAGAGGCTAGGGTTAGGGTTTCTAAGTTTGAGAGGGAGATGGAGGTTGAATGATCACGAAACCCAAGCCTTAATGTTCTTTATATATGGCCAAAAGCCAGAAATTAGCGGTTTTCACTAAAAACACCTGTCAGGCCGTGGCACCTAAGGTCACGTCGTGGCGGGCCATTTAAATCCCATGGTCCAAAACATTCTGACACGTCGTGGTGATGCTCCACCATGTCGTGGCCATCCAATTTAAAGTTAATACATAAAAAAGTTGAGTCTTACCTTGAACAAATGTTACAGTTCTCCCCCACTTGAATTAGACTTCATCCTCGAAGTCCTCAACTACAAATAACTCAGGGTAGTGCTCTCACATCTCTTTCTTAGGCTCCCAAGTCCATTCGGAACCCTTTTGATGTTGCCACTGAACTTTGACCAGTGGAACCACCTTATTGCGCAAGGCCTTCGCCTTCCTATCCAAAATTTCCACCAGCCTCTCAACATAGTTCAGGCGATCATCGACTTGAATATCGTTTAAAGGAACCACTTCTGAATCATCAGCTACACACTTCCGTAGCTGAGAAATATGAAAGATGCTGTGAATTTGACTGAGCTCCTCAGGCAGATCCAGTCGATAGGCTAACCTTCCAACCCTGGAAATCACTCGAAACAGACCAATAAATCGGTGCATCAACTTTCCCCTCTTCTTGAAGTGTATTACACCCTTCTAGGGTGATACCTTCAGTAAAACCATGTCGCCAATACGGAACTCCAACTCAGATCGACGTCTATCAACATAAATCTTTTGTCGACTATGAGTTGTTTATAACCTCTTCCTGATCTGTTGAATAAGCTTTGTCACCTGGAAAACTACCTCGGTCTTTCCCATGACTCTGTGACTGACATCTCCCTAACAGGCTAGGATACGACACTTCCTCCCATAGAGAAGCTCAAATGGCGGTGCACTGATACTGGAGTGATAGTTGTTGTTGTAAGAAAACTCAGCCAGGGGATGGTAGGAGTCTTAACTCCCACTGAAATCAATCACGCAGGCTCGCAACATATCCTCGAGTGTCTGGATGGTCCTCTCACTCTGGCCTCCTTTTGCGGATGATAATCAGTGCTAAAGTGTAATCTTGTACCATGTTCCTCGTGGAACCTTTACCAAAATCAATAAGCGAACTGAACATCTCGATCAGATACAATAGAAATCAGAACACCATGTTGAGCAACAATCTCGCACACATAAACGTTGGCTAATTTCGCGACCAAGGAGCTCTCCCAAATAGCTAGAAAGTAGGCACTCTTGGTCAGACGGTCCACTATAACCCATATCGCATCAAATCCCTTAGCCATTTGAGGTAACTTGGTGATGAAATCCATAGGTTATAAACCTCAAGTCGTGTGCTAGTGAAGAACCTCAGGTTTTATTCTTGATTAGTTCTTGAAA